AGCACTGTACGCCAAGGGGTGAAAGTTTCACCGACTTCACCACAGCCGTATCTAACGGCTGCGGGCACGCAGCGGTCTATTTCCGTGTGCGTTTCTTCTCCCCGTCCACAGCCCGGCTGTGAATGAATATCATGTAGAAGCAGCTCGGTGCGAAGTCGCGCACCTTGCTTGCTCCTGCGACAGTAGCCACTGTCGCATCAGGATACTTCTACCGCGGTACGAGATCAATCTCGTGTTGTAGCCTTGCATCCTGTGGAAACTCCGCGGGAGTCTCGTCCGAGAGCCGATCCATGTGCTCTCGCAGAATCTTGCAACTGTGTTCGTCGAACCGTTCCTGCTTCGTCTTGCCACTGAGTGTCTCAGTGGGGTTTCCAGTGAAGAGTGCTTCAACTCCTTCGCTTCGCTTGCCGCTCTTTCGTGAAACGAAAGAATGCATAATTGTATGATGCGTCCATCGTGCATATTCTTCGCGAAGCGCTTCCATCTCATGACTGGAAGCGAGATCAACTCCAACGTCTATGTCGGAGGATTCTCCAACTCCATCTTCCTGTACTGATATCCAGTACAGGCTCGCGTCAATACCTTCAACGTCTCGACGGCCACTATCGGCTCTTGTGTCTGCCCGGCAGACATACCTTGAAGAGTCTCGGTCCCAGACCGAGACTTGCACAGGATGTTGTGCTTGCGCCGTCCTTTCTTCTTGTAAATCCCGGATTCACTTGCTTTACGTCCAGGCCCGTCCTTGATACCACCGGCAGACATTCGAGTCTGCGGGCGATCGCCGGCGGGTTCTTGTATCCGCCGGCACACGTCATCAAGTCCGGCATGATCGCCCGGCTCCGTGCAGCCCGGCTTCACGACAGCACTCAAGCTTCAGTGCTGGACGTTTGCAATCGTCCACACAGCTTGTCGCATCGACTCCCGGAGTCGATGCATTGGCGTCACCTCTACGCCTTACGGCGGAGCAGTGTGTCGCAGCTCCCCGAGTTGACACCTCGACGCCTCACGGCCGATAATTGCTTGATAGTATCTGGCCCATGATCAGACACTCCTTTTCTGTCAACGATTCCTGGAGTCATTACAGCCCGTGCGCTCCACGCGCTACGACCGGAGACAGCGGCGCAAGCCACTGTCTCTATAGGAGGTTCGGATGCATCGTTAGGTGTATCCGCTGCTTTAACAGGTCCATCGCTCTCTTTTGCGCTGCAGCGTCCGAAACGTACGCCCGTACGCTTCTCCCAGTCCATAATAGGATCGTGCAAGCCACGGTATGCTCAACACCATGTCAACCTTGTCGTCCAAGTCCAGGACGAGAAGTTCTTCCACAAACACCCGGTGTTTCTACGAGAAGCGTGCGCGAATTACGCGTTTCTCGGTATTCACGATGGCACCCTTTGCCAATCGTAGTTCCAACAGACTTCGAGGCACATGCTTCTCCTCGAAGTCCAACAACGGTTGCCATTGCGGTCGAACAAAGTTGTTTGACGCGCCCGAGTCCACCAACACCCGAAGAGAGCCCGCTCTCTTCATCATCGACTTCACCTTCAAGATGACAAGGTTTGGTATGCCATCTTGCACTTTGCAGTGAGATTCCCTCTCACTGGGGGCTGCAGTCCTCAATACCGCGTGTCCGTTGTAGACACGCGTGACTGCATTACCAGTAGGGTGTCACGCGCCTACTGGTCCGTCACGTTGTTTGTTCGACCGTGACGATACCCTGTATCGCCACGTCGACCGTGGACCAAGTGTACTGGTGTCGTACACTCGCGTGTATTATGTCCGATGTTTCCGCACCGGAAGAATTGCACGTTGACGCTCGTCCCCTGCTGCTCCGTAGCAGTTCCACTTGAAAGGTCCATTGGTGCTGGACCTTCCACCTCATCCGCCACCTCAACCGCCGGTCCGGGCGGGAGTGGAACGTTCACATGTAGTTTAGCCTGCCGCAGACTAAACTCCTCTTGCATGGCGAGAATTATCGCAGCTTCGAGAGTACTCGGGTACTCTCGGAAAAGATGAAAAGATAGGTCTTCACAGGCCCATCCTTCAGCCCCTTCATGAACGTGACGACCTTGATCGTCTCGTCAGTCGGTTTGGTCACGCCGTTTGAGACCAACTACCGTGCACGTTAGGCGTATGCATGCATATCTTGCGTACCCTGTTGCAGGTCGAGAAACTCAGCTCTCGACCTGAACTCATTCTTCGGAGGCTCAAACGCAAGTTTGAGCTCCACTCGTACGTGCTGAAGCACGTAGGATCGGCGAGTCGGCGCCCGTAGGCCCAACACGGCGCTCGTCCACCAAGGCAAGACATGACGAAGACAACATTCGACAGTGGGTCGACAATACGTCGAGCCATAATGACAGTGTTGAGCTCGACAAGCCAACGAAGAGGGGACCCACCTTCTTTGCCTTCGTAGTTACTCACATGTAACTTCAGATACTGCTTCTGCGGTGTCACCTCGGGTGACACTGTACTCGCGGCAGCAACCTCACGTTGCTCGCTAAAGATGAATCCCAGAGAACACCATGTGCTCTGTCGGGGATAGCGTGCGTAGCATGGTCGCTACGGCCGCCTCTCCAATGACCGTTGACAGTTCTTGGAGCGCCTTCCACTCTTGATCCGCCAGGGGGGCAGTCTGCACCCACCAGATGCGTCGCAGCTGTGTTGGGGCTTCCGAAATACATCCCGTCCATCGGAAGGTTCTCGTGCCCCTGTTCGTAAGTCATGCGAATAGTGAAGTCGGTCGTTGGACGGACTACAAAGTGCTACCAGGTGTCGTGGGCCTAGGGCTCACTAGTAAGCTTACACATGTGCGCACGTGTAGGAGGAAGCGTAGGTGTTCCTGGCTTGTATAGCGTACACACGGTGCGTGTGTACGATAAGATAAGATAAGAGCGCGATAGCGAAAAATGAGAACTGTATAGTTGTTTTGAGGAGGTTTCCTTCCTAAACTGTTTATCAAATATCTATGGGGCTGTCAGCGGGTGGCTGACAGTGATCCGCATCGCTGATTGGTAGAAATGTGGCGCACTCTATCAATAGGATCCCTTCAAATGCAGTCTTCGCGTGCGGACACATCTTTCTTGTCTGCCAAGTCTTGCGCTGTCTCTGGCTGCGCTTGCAACTCCCGTGTTGCCCTTGGCCATGGCCTTGTCCTTGACTGTGGCCGACGTTCACGTTCGCAACTTGCACACTCTGCAGTGCCGTCTGCCGAGTCTGCACCCGCCACTGGGCGCTGATGCTCAGCCCCACGCAGGTGCGGCAGTGCATCCGCCAAAGGCAACGACTTGCGGTCGTTGTTGTTGATCCAGTCGCCGTACTCACGCGCGAGGTCCTGGAACTTGCCGACGCAGTTCGAAAACAGCAAGCTGGCATGCTGCCACTCACTCGCCGTTCGCTTGGTGAAGCTGTGTCACCTTGGGCGCAATGTGGTCCACGTAGTTAGCCACCGCATCATTATGCTTCAACTTACGAGTGACCAACTCCTGCAGCAAGTAGTCTGAGTTGATGCAGTCACCAGCCTCGAAGTGCTGCGTGACGCGCTCGTACAGCATCGCGGCGGCGTTCTTGTTGTCACGAATTTCAGCTGTCTTGAACACCGTCCGTAGATCCACCGAGAGTGAGAGCGCGAACGCAGAGAACGCCTTGTTCTTTCACGCCTCGTACCTCTCCTTGTACTTGGCTCTACGCAGTCCTTCCTGCTCGTCGTAGCGCTCAGGGCCGTAGGTAATGTCGCCAAGCATGCGCGAGTCGAAGTGCAGCGGCACCTCGCTGCGCCACGCCTTATAATCGCCCTTGGTATGAAGTTTCGGCAGCTTCACTTGAGAGTTGATGATCACCTTGGTGTAGGCGATCAACTCATCATTATTGTATCTATCTGCCATGTCGTCCGAGGGGTGGAGCTGTGGCGAAGCGGAATCCGTGAAAATCTTGTTGACCCGGTTCCCGATACCACTGGCGCCCGGACACCGACTAACGAAGGGGGTCCTCCGATGATCCGTGATCTGGTTGTGTTCTTGTTCTCACCTAGTGTACCCGACAGCGGGCGGGTTACGCTCTCCTGGGTGACTCGTGCGATGTCTATCGGCGAAGGTGGAGACGCAGGGGCTTGAGATAGCGTGGAACTTCTTCACTCTACCTCGGGTCAGTTGGGCAGCGTCTAGCTGCCTGGTTGTCGATCCAGGTCTTTCGGGGGTTCAATGTCGGAGATCTTACTCCTTCCTTACATATGCTTGCCGCCTCCTGTAGCGGGGGACTTGTTGGGTTGAGATCCGACGAGATCTTCAGGCCGAGCAACCAATGCCTTCCGATCAGTAATAAACACTTGAGGGCAAGTCACTAGGTAGGGGAAAGCTGGCCAATATATTATCCAGGCTTAACCGTCACGCTAGATCCTACGTCCTTACCGTCTGCGTGCTTGGGAGGCCAATCTAATCCCCGATTCCAGGAGTAGGCAGACACTTGTGCAGCTTAGAGCAAATTCGAGGCTGTTTACGTTTATCCCTATATCCACCAACTCATCCTCAGCTGCTACCTTACGATCACCTGGCATCTGGATACCTACCTGATCCTGAGATCTGCCGATCACGATCTTGAACGGCAATCGCGATCGTGGTCTTGAACCATCTCCCCGATCGGGACCTCGGACGGCCTCTCCGATCGTCGTCGCGCGATGATCCTCAGAGTCGCCGTTCACCCGTGACCTACGACTGCTGCCGCACGACGAGCCTGGCCCGCTTTTCTTCCACGATTCTGGATCGCAACCTTGCCTTAACCTTAGATCGTCGTTCACTCGCGCCTCTTGATCGCTGACCAGCTTAACTCCAGGGTAGCCCTTCTCCCTCGATCTCTGTCCGCTGACTTGCCGTGGCCCCGGATCACCGGTCGTCAGCGGTCCATGTCCATCACCCTCCCCTGATCCTGTATATCTTGGATCGGGGCACGGTGTGGGTATGTCGCCATCCATCACTCCAGGGGTCAATCTTGGGTCATCCAAATTCAACATAACTCACCGGCGTTGTCGCACGCTGAATCTTGCGCAAATGATCCGATGTCCCGGCCTGAGTGGGATTTCTATCGCCTGGTCCGTCTCTATCTTGCGATCTGGCAGCCGAGGTTGCCTTTCTCGCGAGATCTTATTCGCACTTCACCACAGCGCCGTGGCGGGTTTGAGTTCCTGCTGCCGTCGTCTCCTTGATTTGGGGCCAGCGGCAGATTTGCAACTGGCAGCTAAGAGCCGTTGCTGTTCGTCAAGAAAGATTCTAGAATAGATTAGATGAGGGATCGCCCACCCGGAATACCATTCAATGAGCGACTGAGACTTTCCGCCTCTTCACTCGATAGTGTGACACGCGAGTCGTCACGTTGGTCAATTCCTCCCAATGGGAATTGAGCTTGATCTTGATTCGTCAAATTTCCCCTTAAGGTATTTGGCGAATCAGAGCCTTGATCAGTCGAATGCTGAGCTCTGATTCGGCTCAGAACCTGTTATGACGTAGGGTTCGTCACCGGGTTGCTCCTTAAGTGTCCTCCACTTCGTAGTGTAGGTGCCATTGGGATGTTAATCTATCAATACACTTATAGGGCAAGATTTACAGATAGAAGATCGTAAGACAGTGATTGCCGGGCAAAGCACCGACAGGACCGCAGCGCTTGGTAGGGCGGCTTCTCGCGTGTGTTTCGTACTACAAAAGCAGAAGTGACATGCCAACCCTACCTCGCGCCGCGTTCCGCAAAGTAGATTTGTACAATAACCTAATATAGTCATACAAACCTTGAGTCCTTGTGCGTTCCCACAATCCTGGTAGCTCACAGCCAGCAATATCCT